ATTAAAATTTAACTTTTTTTAAGTTTATTTGGTTTTTTAATTTATCTTATTTAAAAAAAAAAAAATATTTTTTTTATTTAATTAGCCCTTTAAATTGCCTGGTAGGTTTTTTTTGCAAATTTTTTCTTTTTCATTGGGGTTTTTAAATTCTTTTTCTAATATTAACGGGGGTTTTAAAAAAATTTGGCCCCCCCCAAAAATAAAAAATTTTGGTGCAAGGGGAGTTTAACGGGAGCGTTTTTTCCCACAGGTTTATTAAATTTTAAAGTTCTTTATTGGTTTAGAAGCTTTTAATTTGGAAATTTTTAAAAAAACTGGCCTTGGAAAACCCTTTTTTTTCTTCTTTTGGGAATAAATTTCCATATTTTTGTTTGTTCCATTCTTAAACCTTCCCATTACATTAAAACTTTCAAATTTTGTTTTGGTTTATTTTATGACCCATTAAAAAAAAACTTTGGTTTGTTTTTCCTAAAAGTAATTTATTTTGTTAATTTTCCCTATGGGAAAAAATTAAAGGAAATTCCAAAAAATGTTTTTTTTTTTCCTAAAAAAAAAATTTTGATTTAAAGGCAATGTTTTTTTTTTTAATTGGCTTTGTTTCCGACGGATCCATTTTTCCCTTTACTGGTTTTTTTGGAAAAATTGGGCAATTCCTTTTTTTCAACATGGTAATTTTAAAAACAAAAAAAAAAAAAAAATCCTTTTTTTCTCTTGGTGAAACCCAAATTTTTTGGGGAAAAATTAAAGTTCAATCGTTACAATTTTTTTCCCCTTTTTTATTGGTTTTTTCTGAAAAGGAGATTTCAAAAAAAAAATTCCCCTTTTAAATAATAAAGGGGAAGAAAAAAACTGTTAAAAAAAAAAAAAAAAAAAAAAAAAAAAACCAAATAGTAAATGTATGTTTTATTTTGTTTAAAAAAAATCCACCCTTTTATTGGAATCCCTTTTACATTTGGAAAAAAAAAATGAGCTTCAAAAAATTTTAAAAAAACAATTTTGTTTCTTTGGGGAAAGGTTTAACCAAAAACAGTTTTTTTACCCCAATCTTTTCTCATTTTTTTTTCTTTTTTCCTTCTTTTTAAAATTTTAATTCCTTCTTTTCCTGTCCTTCCCCCCCCCCAAAAAATTTCTTTTTTTTTTTTAAAAAAAAAAAAAGAAAAATTCCAGTAACATTAGGGCCTGATTGCTTTTTTAAAAAATTGGGGGCCAAGAAGGGTGGCTGGCCTTCCCATTTTAAATTGGGGGTTCTCAAGAAAAAAAGTGAATGGGAAGGGGGCAAAAAAACAAAGATTATTTTTTTTTTTTTCTAGGTGGGTTCTTTCTTTTTAAAAACAGTTTTTTTCTTTGGGGTGGGATTAAAATTTAAAAAAAAGGGTAAGGGTTAAAAAAAGGGGCTTTTTTTTCCTTAACCTAAAAAAAAAAAAAAACGATTGGGAATAAAGGTTTGGGGCTCTCAGATTATAAAAAAACTTATTTATTAGGTTGAATTACCAATTTTCCCTACTTGGACCCCAAATTTGGTTTGGCAAGGGTTAAAAAATTGATTAAAGCAGGGGTTTCCAAAAAAAAAAAAG